CTGGCGCAGGAGGCAGGTACACTACCAACTACGCCATTCGGGTCGTCACTAAAAGAACAAAGGTCATAATATAATACATATTACACGATATCGAAAGTATTTTTCTATACGACCGATAGAAAGCTATTTCCAAAATAATGGCTGAAAATATTTTCATTAATAATAATGAACAACAAGCGTCTAGGTTTGTGTTTCGAATGGGCGCTTTTAATTCCTCCCTCAGTACATATTCTTGTAAGAAGCATTTAAAAGAGTGGTTGCTCTCTCCCGACTATGACGAAACTGAAAACATTCTTAAGTAATACGAAAACACACACACACCCACACATACACACACACATACACACCAGAAATATCTTGTGCTTTATTATCTATGTCTACGCTATTACAATTCCTATCCTGTAAATCTAACCGTCTGTTTCGTTTTTTTTTTTCTTTTCATTTGTTAATTAACGTTTTACATGAAGCGCACTCCATCTTCCAAAATACAGGCACTGCCTAGTTTGGAAGTCACAGTGTACCTCATAGTCTCTTATTGCAACGTACCATACTTAAGAATAAACGATCTGTATTGTTATTACTTCTATAGTAATATTATATAATAAATATTATATAAATAAATTTATTTATTATTATTTCTAATTCTGCACGTCATGTTATCGTGGACGACCAAGTCTAACGTTACATTTGTTTTTATACTTCACGTGACGGGTGCATTTCGTGCAGTTTCAAAGAGTGCGGACGTCACGATCTCTAGACGCCTACGGCTCTTATACTTATTTTATTTAAGACGCAAAAAAAAATTTTAGATATTTGCAGCATCCAGTGCCAAAAGTAAAATATTTAGAAGGAACATTTTATTCATTATTTGACTAGCGACCCCCGCCCCGGCTTCGCACTTGTGCATAGTATTATATACATATAAACCTTCCCCTTGAATCACTCTATCTAGTAAAAAAACCGCATTAAGATCCGTTGCGTAGTTTTAAAGATCTAAGCATACATTGGGACATACAGACAGCGGGAAGACTTTGTTTTATACTATGTAGTGATAAACTAAGCATTGTGTTCTCAAATTCCTCTACGGACTTCTCCCACGGACGTGTTTGTTGTGATGTAATGTTATTACATCGAATTTAAACATTTTCATTTATTAAAATAAACTCACAGGAAATAGTACGATCGGGCGGCGATAGGTAAAAATTGACAGAAATGCGCGAAACGGGAGCCCGGCGAGGGAGGGCAAGCACGTGGACTCACACACATTTACGTTACGTTATCATCCCTTGTACGTACACATTAAATCGCAATAATATCGGGAGACTGTTTTAAAGGGAACATTGGTGTGCAAAAATATCGTAGCGGTATATCGTGGACAATTTAAAAGCGACTTCGTATATTTCTATAAAACTTACTTCACTGTGTTATGGTTGTATCGTGTCACGATGATATCGTAGCGTTGACAATTATAAAAGCGATCAATCTCTTTTTTTATTTCATTTGGCACTCAACAGACTAGTGGCCGATTTACATGTATCAAGCACCAAACAAAATTTTAAGTTAAAGTATTATACATATTGTAGACCTTCCTCTTGAATCACTCTATCTAGTAAAAAAGCCGCTTCAAGATCCGTTGTGTAGTTTTAAAGATCTAAGCATACATACGCATAAAAAGACGGCGGGACGACTTTGTTTTATACTAAGTAGTGTGCATGTACATTCAACCAACTAGAACAAAATCTATTATAGGGAATCGATTCGGTTACGGGGAACGCTGGGAAGGATCGAAACGGAATAATTTTACTTATTTACTTGCGCACAAAATTTTAACTTGCAACTTTACACGCGTGCATTAAATCAAAATTTAATTAACCGCTAACTACTTAATACGTGTAAATCGGGCATTAACCAGTTCAGCAATAATCTGCTTAATCCCACTTAAGCGCATTAGTGGGTATTCCGTTCTCAGAATTTACCAACTGTCTTTTAATAAGATTTTGAGGTCATACATACTGCTGCATCGTGGCAACGAACGGGTCGATTTTGTTTTCAACAAATTAAGTAACTTCATGATTCAAATTCTTCATCTTTTAGCGAAAACAGAAATATTTATAACGATTGTTAAAGACAATACAATTTGTTCAATTTTACATCAAGATAGTTGTAACATAGCTCACTACTTTACAGGGTTAACTAAGTGATTTTTTTATTCAAGATTTTAATATTCAGGTTCAGAGTCATCGCGGCGTTAACTGAAAGAAACCATTGTGACAAGATTAAAAGTATCAGCCTATACATGTCCCACTACTGAGCAAAGGCCTCCTTTGTATTAGGGCATAGTCCACCACGCGGCCCCATTGCGGATTAGCTGACTTCACATATCTTCGAAATATATATATTTTTTATTATTTCAAAAATATGCAGGTTTCCTCACGATGTTTTCCGTCACCGCTGAGCACTTGATAATTAAGCACTTGAAATCAAAAATTTCATTGGTGCCGGCACCGGGGATCGAACTCGTACCGATCTTAAATTCCCTAAATGTATCTTAAATTTTACATAATAATATAATTGGTGAAAGAAAACATGGTGAGACATTGACATATTTTTGACATACGAAAAAAAAATCGAAGATGTATTCTGTGCGTATTGAAATTGGCTAAACCACAGAAGGGTCGCATAGTGGCCTACGCCCTGGTAGCCTCTGTAAAGAGCATGCCTTTGCCCAGCAGTGGGACATAATTATATAGGCTGTTACTTTTTTAAAATTTTACATATAGTTTGCTTCTAGAAACCTTGTATTGTTTTTACCCCTTGAGGACTAAATATAAAGAAATATGTTGGCTTCTTTTATTTCTGTCAAACTTTAATACTAATCCAATTTTGCAAGAGCAAATAATCATTTTTTTATGTTAAAGTTCTGAAATCAGCGGTTTCATATTTGGACTGTGGCCAAAATCGAGTTTATTCAGGATTACAAAACAGCCTAACGTAAACAAAACATGCAAATTTGAAATCAAAACGATGGGCGGTAACTACCTATTTTATTTATCTCGAAAATTAAGATACCGATACTAATTTAAAAAAATAAGATAACTGGAACAACCTGTACAATGGTGTAAGAACCTTTTACCGGCCTACTTGAATAGATTTCGCAATTAACAAAATGTTGGCTACATACTAAATTAAGAAGTTCGAATGTGACCATTGAGTGCTTTAGCGAGAAAATAAAAAAAAAATATCTATTTTTTTATGGAGAAAAAGGGCCAATGAGCAGGAGGCTCACATGATGGTAAGTGACTACCGCCGCCCATGAACACCTGCAACACCCGAGGGCTCACAAATGCGTTGCCGGCCTTTTAGGAAAGAGTAGAAACTATACATCGCGTTCCCAGTGTTGCGCTGCTTGTCCACTAATATTAAACATACATATCGGAAAAATTTTGATTCCGCTGACGTCATCGGTCTCAAGTTTGTCATTTATTCTACGAATCGCCGCCAGCTCAGGAACGGTTAGAGCCGTGGACATGCATCAAATTACCCGCCGTATGGCAATGGCATTGGTATCCGGTAAGTTGGGCATGTGAATCCCGAATGAATATAAATAGAGACGTTTTGTATTCAGCGGCGCCTCTTCGAAGAATCCCCATATCTTTGGATGACAGCCACACAAATTACTTCCATCCTATTTCTTTTTAAAGTTGTTGTGATCGATTTTATTGATGACGAGATATTTGAAAACTAATAAATTGATCAATTTAATACTAAGTTGTACTTGTTATGTAAGTGTTATGTTTTTTTTTTATAACATTGTTATAATGACAAAATTATTTAATTATAAAAAAATGTTGTGAACCTGTAATTTTTCCATTGCTATATTTTTAATTAATCAATTCAATATGAAATAAACATGTAGGGTATTGGGTTTTATTCAGACAAAATAAGAAGTTGAGCTACAAACAATATTTGATTTGTTTGTTACAGAGTAACATTATGTATTGTTAAACATTGGTTAAATACTCCGTGTCTTTATGCTAAAATTGTTTTATATATTGTGCTTAATGCTTTAACTGTAATTTATAAAACAAAAAGCAATTTACATGCAAAATTTATTGTTTATTTTGACCTTAGAGTTTAAACTATAATATGCTATTATTCCTTCCCTATGAAAATAAAATTTACATAAAGTTATATTAATAATAAAACAATTATTCTTTGACGCTTTACATAAACACTAAAAGACTACTAAAATCTTGTCTGACAAAAATGAACCATTGCATAGTTTTAAGGAAAAGTGTATTGAAAATTATTTAGTGTTAAAATAAAAATCTAAATTTATCAAAAGATTTTCGAACTTTAATTACAGCAAAAAATATTATGGTAGACCATAATAAATAAACTCAATAAACAACAAGCCATTTTATATGAATATGATTATAATTATAAACTAGATTGGCTTAAATTATTATTTTAAAATAGCATGCTTAATTGCATATTAGTAAATATGTATGAAATTAAAAACCTCAGAGAGATTTGTAAGTCATTGCGTACCGGCATATGCGTTGTTTGTAAACAAATAACATATGACGAAAGTGCCAAACTACTTTGTTTATTTTCCTCATTTCCGTAGGCATATTAAATTTAATATGATATACTCAATATTCCTATTATAAAAGAACAACAGAAAACCGCACCGCGTACAACTGGGAGAACTCCCAAGGCTTTAGTCATCCATGTGCATATAGCGCGCCAAATTTTGACATGTTTAAAAACACTATTTTAAAAAAACTTTCACCTTCTTGAGATTGGTTCGTATTATACACCTCGTACATTTTAAATATATTAAAAACAGCATGCGCAGAGCAAATAATGATTTATTCGCGAAAATATCTTAATTCCTAATAAATAACGCCCCTAGCGGTAAGAATATGAAACACAAACATAATGGCCGACACACAGTAGTTAGGATGACTTAATACCTAAATGCGCAAATTACTTACACTTTCTTCCTCTTTTTCCATTCCAGAGGGCATCTGAGGTACTGCACGATTAATGGCCGAGTAGTCCGGTAAATCCGGAAGCTCCTCGGCGAGATATATGGGCATTGGTTTCGACGCATCTAGGGCCCTCGCCCTAAACGAGAGCTTCGACATTTTGTTGACAGAACAAAACACGCTAGCGTCGACACAAAAATGCACTTATAAAACACTTTATAGCTTCTCCAGGCGGTCCTTAAGGACCGTAAACTGCACTTCGCACACTCTAGTTCGTTCCCATGGTTAATTTTTGCACGCACTCAGTCACAATTAATGAAAAACAATAACGAAACTTTACATATTGAACGTTCTTTGCAGAAAGCCATCATGGCGGCTTTCCGTTTGGCGGACGACCATGACCAACTTCCACCTTACACGATGTGCGCGGGAAGGAAACACGCGGAAACAATTCGCGTAATTTTCATACTTTTTAAAAATCTTGTATTTAACATTTTATACAAATATTTACTTCAAAGTAAATAAAAATATTTAGATTTATTATTTATAAATTATCTTGATTTTATTACGATAACGTTTTTAAAAAGAAAAAGTAATAATATGACGTCGGACTTCGGTTGTCATACCATAGCCAAGCGAAATTTTTCAAAGACGTTCCGTTTTAAGTTTGAAACACGTCTATGGAATTATATGTTTATAATATAATATAAATCATGTATTATTTTAATTAAAAAAAGATGAACAATGATTGATATAATACAAGAAGTAACATGTACTTTAGATTTAAAAAACTGTCAGCTTTCACAATTCTCTTCAGAAATTAAATTCAATTCATCGCATAAAAATAACTTTTAACATATTGTGGTATGGCGGCGACGCAACAATCTTCGATGTTGCCCGGATTTGCAAGTCCGTCCGGGGAAATACCACGTCCCACAAATTCGAGTGCGGTTACCTGAGCTCACTTTATTCATATTCAAATATCTTTATTCAATATAAAATTATTACACATACTTATTGATTGTCAAAAAAAATATTACTACCAGTTCGGAAAAAAAGCTCCTGACCTTTTAAGAAAGTAAAAAAACCGGCGAAAGAAACTCAGAATTGTAAGGTGGCAACGCATTTGTAACCCTACGGGTGATGTGAATGTCCATGGGTATTCATGGAAATTCATATCACCCATATTATTCACTTACTATATCATATATTATTCTCTTAACCGTCTTATTCGTGATAGCTCGGTGTCCGTGCGCTCGCCTTTAATTGAATATACTCTAGCAACCTGAGTTCGATCCCCGGTGCCGGCACCAATGAAATTGTTAATTTTAACTGCCGAATTATCACGTGCTTAGAGGTGAAAGAAAACATCATGAGGAAACCTGCGTATTTTCGAAATAATAATAATAAAAAAAAATATTTCGAAAATATGTGAAGCCCGTCAATCAGCAGTGGGGCCGCGTGGTCGACTATGCCCTGATACCCTCTGTATAGATGAGGCCTTTGCCCAGCAGTGGGACATGTATAGGCTGTTACTTTACTTTTTTTTATTCACTTAACATGAGGTTAAACATCAACTCGTTTGTCATCTTCTTACATAAAAAAAACATTTCTCAAAATTAAATTTTCTAGAAAGGTAGTTAACATAACTTATATGTTTGATCACGTTTATCGAAAATTATTTATTGAAATAGCGTTAGCCCTTTATCCTGATCACTTTTGCGATCTGTTTGTTAACTAATAGAATATTCTGCACATATTATATTATTTTTCCTATACACGAATTTTGAAACAAAAGTTAAGTGTAAGTTAATACTTTTCTCTTATATGTATATCTCACATTTAAAGTAAACAATAGATTCGGTTATTATTTACGATCCAATTGGCATAGTTGGGAGTGTACCTCTCTCTTGCACTAAAGGTGTATGTTCGTTCGCTTATATAGCAAAAAAAATTGTGTCATTAACAGTATTTTGCTAGTGCCTGGGTGCTTATATTATATCTAATACTAATATGTTGGTGCCGATGCTTTTGGGTTCGACACCGGGGGTCTTGGGTTCGATTCCCACGCGGGACAAGTATTTGTGTGTCCCACAGATAATTGTTCCGGATCTGAATGTCTGTTTCCCAAGGAAGGTTGACGTCGAGAAGGTGACCGGTCGTAAAAAACATAGCCAAAACCGCTTACAAACTTATTCACATGTGGTGCCGAACCCACCTATGGCGGATAAGGGCAGGAGGATGATGATAATATATTTATTTACAATAGAAAAGTATGTTTACTAATACTCATAATCTTTGCTGGGTTTTGCTGTAGCAGAACTTAAGATTACTGTGTAATTGAAATCAATTGTTATGCCATCAGACTAATTGACTAGAATTGGAAGTTAAGGCAAATATATCTTTTATATGAATGGATTCTTTCACAATATCAAGTTATTAATAACCAGTTCAATGCCGACAATTAAATTCAGACCGACTTCAGAATGTTACCAGGTTTAGGGGAAAAACACCTCAAAACATGTGTTTTTTTATATAAGCGGAAAATTGTCAAGCAAGCAGGAGGTTTACCTGATGTTAGATGAATACCTCTGCTCGTGGACATCTACCACTGACTGGTGTATTAAGTTAACAATGCGACCTATAAAAATGTGGGCCAGTTACTTCACCAACCAAACGAAATGCGAAAGTTTAATACTTCCATTTCACGCTGTTACCCTAAGCTCTTATCTACCTCGTCTTTATTTAAAGTAACACTGTTTATATGTCATATGTGTCAAATATAGGTTTAGAACTGCTTACTTTTTTTGAAAGAACTGTAAATATAATAAAGCCCAAACAAGTTTTTTACAAATACTAGTTAAATAACACTACATAATATGAAAAAGTCGTCCCGCTGTCTATCTGTCCGTATGTATGCTTAGGTCTTTAAAACTACAGAACTACTCTTGATGCCGTTTTTTACTAGATAGAGTAATTCAAGAGGAAGGTTTACATGTATAATATATTACACCCGTGCGAAGCCGGGGCGCGTCGATAGTTTTCTAATAAACCTAGGCCATGTCGCAAAAAACATTCGAGGATATACTTAACTCTTAAAATTTTCGTTTACCGCACGGACCAAATGCTTAGTCTAATTCGTGCGTTTGATTTTGTAGCTTGGTGCGGGTGACAGCTATCATTCAAATCTTGTTTATCTAGTTCCTATAATGTACACGCAGGTACATCAACAATACAATACAACACGCATGTATGTTGTCATGTTAAATGTACTTTTACTTCAACTTTCAACTTGCTTGCTGATACCGCCCCGGGCCGTAGTCTGAAGCATGCGTGTGAGATTAGAATGTATCGAACTATGACACAACTCTACAATTGAAGAAGTGTTTCGTCACTGAGGTGTGTAAGTAGTCTCGTAAAATGCCAGTATCCCACCGAAGCCGTAAACAATTATAATTCAGCGCACACTTAGAGAGGGCGAAGAGTCTGTAACGCCATGGTTTTACGGATGTCTATGGGTTCGGGGGCTGAGGAAAAAAAGAAAATTGCATACAAATAATCTTCAAGAATTTCATATTTGGTCTTCATAATTCCTTTTTGTCTTTTTCGAATAGGACTACAACAATCACATGTACATTTTACTCGACTTTGGCGCATATTACATTCCGTATCTATAGCAACAAATGGAGTGGATTAAAATAACAAAGAATAAATTGGTACTCAATTTTATTTCTTTAATAGTACATTATTAAGTAGTAATTAGAAATAGTCAATAAAATTTAGGCGATAATTTGGGACGAAAACTTGCTTTTAAGAAAATTACAAATATACGCATATGCAATTTAGTACAATTTTTTTGTTTAGCAGTTAATTATTACGATAATCTGTTATTTCATGCTCCATCATTCTGTTGGTATCTTTGAACTAATTAAAGATATGCGTAAATAAATGTTAGATGAATAATAACACAAGGTTGAACTAGTGTACTTAAAGTTAATATCACACAATAGTACAGAATACAAATAAATGACATTTAATTTCATTTTAGTTGAAAGATTACATTATAAACAATATAAAATATTGGATGTGATGTATTATATTTCCAGTATATATAAATTTGTTTATTATGTAGGAAATTACAGCATTTATCTTACTTTAAACAAGATAGCTACATTCACTGCTACATTTTTCACTTGAACATTAAGACATAAATGAATAAGTAGTTTTGATGATTTTTCTAATGCTTTGTATTAAGATGTTTGAAATAAATAGTTGTATATGATAATTATGTCTACTACCAAAATTGACATAACATTAACTATAAATATATATAAGCATAGACAACGCAACAACATTTCAAAGAATACATACATTTATTATAAAAATATAACAATCACACTAACATTTTATGCAGGAGTTAAAACACTGTTACAACCATATTTTGCTTCCATATCATATACCCACAGTCTGTTGAGATTACTACATAGGTAAAACACCAACTTTATTTATTTCATTCAATATATGTTGATAACATCAATTTATCGGAAGTCTAAATAAAAAAACTGATTTCTTTACTAATTTTTTTTTTTGACATAATAATAATCGTAATTGTAATAATCTCACAATAAGGTTATATTATCGCCTAAAGCTGTAAGCATACTGATTAAGTCTATCATTATGTATTATATTTAACATAGATTTAGAAAAAAAGTGTCAGTACTTACATAATATGGTATTTAAAATTAAATTTAGTCTTTGTCAACTAGGAAATACAAAATTTCAAATGTTTAGCAAATAACAAAAAAAAAAACTGACCATGTGGGCAAAAATAAGAAAATAATTTTTAAGCTTCATGAAAATTAATTGTGTGTTAACAATTTTTATTGGGTAGTACATATTCAAAAAGTACTCCGTTAAATATCTAAATTGTAAAGATTTATTAAAAAAATTACTTTACTAAGCTAAAAAGGCAGTAAATATAGATTCCTGAGATAATTACTGAAAATAGTACATGAAATTAAATAAAAATAAAGAAATAGAAAGAAATTAAAATAAAATGAAGAAAAATGTTGAATTATAAATAATTTATTAGGACAATTCATAAGTAATTTTAACATCATAATAAAATGATGGCAAAAATTTAACATAAATAGTTTTAAGAAGAAAAGTATACATAATTATATAATGCACTTCAATATCCTGTATATTACACAAAAAAAAATCATTTAAACTATTTTGATATTCCTGATTGTATATAAATTATATTTAAAAAGAATTAAAATTAAATATTTGCTTGTTTATTTTACAATTTGTTCCTTTTGTACATAATATTATGAAAAGATTAATTCTCCATAAATTTAACCCAAATATAGGACAGTAATTATTAGGCTTATTGATATTTATGTCATCAATTAAACTGTGAGTATGTCAAAATATGTATTAATACAGAAAACTTAAAATAAATTATCACTGTAATTCATCATTGAGCCAAAAATATTACAAAGTATTATTTCATTTCCCTACAAAAATGTACCCTAATTAAATACTAAGAAAAGATTATATTGCCTTTAATTAGTTTATGGCAGTAATATGATATCATATAATTTTTTCTATTTAGCATGTAGTAAAATTTTACACATTAGATATTGCATGTTATCATGATTGAATAAATAGATACATATCTTTATTACTGAATTTGCATGTTAATATTGTAACATGTAAACAAATAAAATTATCAGAAAAAAATATTTTTGGCTATGTATGCACATGCAGGCAATATAATCTTAGTGTTTACGAATACATGGTTGATATTTCAGCAATAAAAACATTCACATACAGCTAAATCAGCTTAGATTGACTGAGTCTGCAGATTGGTTGGCACTTGCGCAGTCCCCTTGTGGTTCGCTTTTTGTGGACTTGCCACCTTTTCCAACAAAAATTTCAACTTCCTGGCAATCAACATAAATAACAAGATTTAAAAAATGTTTAATTGAAATCGATAAGTGATTGAATAAGCTTAAGAAATGAAATGAAAATTTTTCCATCATTAAAGACAATACGGTAGTCTATTCCATTTAAATATCTTCTCAATTAATATGTATGTATTCTGTCATTCGCTAGAAATTCGCATAAGTAGGCAACGCACTTATATTAAGAAATTTTTCTACCCAATATGTTTGGCTATATCACAGGCTATCTCTACTACATTTGCATGTAGTAGAGATAGCTTGTACATGTCTTCCATGCACAAAGGATAGAGCATAGCTTGCAAATAGCCTAGTGTGATTATGGGCATTAAGCCCTTAAAATTACACATATACATGTGTATATATTTGATTTGTACATATATTGGTTCACAAGTCCCATAAATTACACTAGTGCCAACTAATAAAATTTAACATTATAAGAATAGATGAGTAGATAATATTATTAATTTATTAATACCTGACTGCCCTCAATAGCCATTTCACTGTCCTTTTCTTGGCTGGTGCCTGGCGCAGAAGCGCGAGCCGCCAGCTGTCTTTCGCGGGCCACGCGTCTATTTAAAAAAAAATTTAAAAGAAATCGCATTGTGCCATGAGTTTTTATTTCATTCGTTCTACGTCCAGCTGCGCACTTCAATTGTTTCAATGGTTTCGGTATGAGGTATCGCTCCGGTTGACTCAATCAGTCTTATTGAGACGGACAGAATTTTTATACGCGGTGAATACGAATGGTCCCCATTTCATTGACAACCCAATTTTCGTAGTGGCTAGTGACCATGTCTCTTGCGCCAGAGGGTGTGAGTTCGATCCCCACTACTGGAAAAATATTCTCTGGTGAACATAGTAATTTTCTAATGTCTGGATGTTTATATTTACGAAAGAATAGTATGTCCAAGTATGTGTATCAGTTACCTAGTATCTATAGTACAAGCTTTGCTTAGTCTGGAACTAGATAACGTTGTCCAACAAGTCCATTTTTATTAACGAAAAACAAAAACGACTTCAAATATCTCCCTCTGTATTCATTTCATAATTGATTCTTAGACGTTCCCCAGGTGTCTCCGGAGTCCGAGATCCAATACTAACGAAATTAAAATGGGACCACATGGGGAGCACCGGCTTTCGAATAAAAAAATAATCATCGCAACCGGTCCACTGAGTCGAAAGTTCTGAGGTGACAAACATAAAAAATAAAAATAGTGAATTGTGAATCTCCTCCTTTTGAAGTCGATTAATAATATGTCCAACTGCGAGCAACGGTTCCTAAGATACTTTGGCCACGTAATGAGAAAAGGAGACGAAAGCTTGGAAAGGTTGATCGTTTTTGGAAACATTGAAGGCAAAAGATCACGTGGCCGATCTCCAGCACGATGGACTGACCAGCTCGAGGACACAGAACCGTCTCAGAATTTCTGCGATATGGTTAGGACCACGATGGGCCGGAATCGATGGAGAGATCTCATTCGTGCTAGAACGACGACCGCCAACCACGATCATCAGACATGATGAAAAGGACCAGAAAGAAGAAATAATACGCCCCCTACCTCCTATGCTCCAGCATCGCCTTGCGGTCCGCCTCTCGCTTCTCCGCCGCCAGCCGCGCCTTCTCGTTGCTGACGCGCGGCGTCGCCCGCGACCGTCCGCGCGCCGGCGAAGTGGACGTAGACGCAGACGCCGCTTTCGCCACCGGCGAGGCGATCTGGAACGAGCAAAGCACGTTTTTTATAAACGTTCTTATGGTTCCGCATCCAAAATACCCAAATCCCTATTAAAATTTGTAGAATAGTGCAGAGATTAGCACTAAAAGAAATTCGCCGCCCGACGACATCTTAAACACTAGACGGGTTGCAGATGTTTTGCTAACATTAAAAAAATTATAGGTTAGTCATAGGCCCCGGCTACCACACTCACGGCATAAAATACGAAATAAGAGTACTTCCACTTCACGCCGGTCTTCTATGAGGTTGTGGTACTTCCACGGACGAGACTGCCCATTCGGGCAACAGCCGAAGCTGCTGCGTGGCCCTACCACTGATGAACATTGTAAACGATGCATTTATTTGCTATTTTTATTTTTTTATTGTGCTATTTCTCTGTACTTAAGATGAAATTTACAATTTGTTAAGTCGAAATTGATCGTTGTGAAGACGTGCCGTGCAACTCTTGGCTAGAGCGAGGCATAGGTTCGATTAAAGTAATGCATAAATAAATCTTTATTATTTTTGTTACTTCATACATTTCCCCCTTAAAGTAATTATTTGTATCTTTATTGACAATTAGAGCTCACCTCCTGCCAGCCATTGGCTTTCATGGCCGCGATGTTCTCGTAGAGGGCGTCCACGTTGCGCACCTGCAGGCAAACCATGTCCCAGAAACCCTGCAGGTCCTGGAGTGTGGTGGGGAATGGTTCATCAAGCCGCTCATTGATGTTGTTGTAACAGAGGCCTGGAAGTTGATGGTAAAAATGATTTATTATAACATTTAAACATTAGGAACAAAGTGCTAAAGCTTTGTTGATTCAGTTAAATTTTATCCAGTTTTGCCTTGAAGAGACAAACATATTGTTGGCCAAGAGTTTTTTTTTATGTGATAAGTTGCCAAACGAGCAGACGGTTCAACTGATGTTAAGTGAGTACCGCCACCCATAGACATCTGCTTAACCCGATGGTTGCAGATGCGTTGACAACCTTTTGAAAATTGGGCTTGAAAAGAGTGCTAATTTGCTAACTATACTTTTTGGAATAACATTTTTTCGATATGATTACAAAGAGAAAGCAAAATTCTACACATTCATACACACAGTTCTTATGTAAAATGCATTAAGACTACTTTTGTAGATACAACTCTATCAATTTCCTAGATTCTAAATTTTCTCAAATAAAAATTGCTAACTCCCTCAATTGTCCCAATGTGTTTGACAAGTGCGCAGCTCAGGCGATGGACTATAATCTCAATTTTATAAATCACCTTACTTCTCTCAATGTATTGTGTTATTAATTATAACTGAGTTCCATATATTTTTTTTCTAATAATTTTTCAGTACTTCATCAAGTAAATCACAATTTGGCTTTGAAGATATTTATTATATTGCTTTATTGTAATGCTATATTTTTATTGCTTCTTGTGGAATAAGTCAAAAGAAGATGTAGGTGCAAAAGAAAGTACTTCTATATGGATATACCTTTTTGTACATAAGTATATAAGACATAAGCTCAATTTATCACTATGTTGACATGAAATTAACTTATAAGATGGATTGCAGTAAGAATTTAAAATAACAACTATACAAAAGTATCTGGAAGTGGAAAATATTCAAACGGATTGTGCTTTGGCTTTAGATTCAATGAATTGCACTTGATCATCGCATCACAATTGATTTTTGAGGTAAGTTCTTCTGTTAGAAACCGAAAGCAGTACAAAAATTCCAATAACACATCCTGAAAATTACACTTGTTAGCAGGAAACATGTTTCCAAGGGCATGCCCTCGTTTTGTAGGTGTTGAAAGTTACAATTAAATGTCCTTACACCAAACTGCATGAGATGAACCATAGGCTATAAACTTGCCAATTACACTACAGTTCTGAGACATATAAATGTTGTATAGACACCAAGGCAAGTGAAACTCACTTCCTATTGATGAAGTCAACATTTTGCACAATGGATAAAGGACCAGACAAATCTATAAAGCCAATTTCGCAACAGGGACTATCTTAGTCATACCTTCAAATTGTTGCATCTTCTGCGTGGCTAGGAGGCGCGCTTTGCCGGACGCGGCTCGTAGTAAGCCCAGTACCTCCTCACTCACATTTTCTTGATGCTGGAAATATTTGAAAGGTTGCAATATACATTCAACTGATGACATTTTCACTTAAATAAGTATTTTTTCTATGTGAAAAGTTGGCAAGCAGGCAGGTGAACCATCACCTGATGTTAAAAAATTACCGCCATCCATAGACATCTACAACACCTGATGGGTTGCCAACCATTAAAAAAGTTGGTAAGTTGTCCAGTTACCTCACTCACTGAAAATGAAATGCAGAAGCATAGCACTTCCACTTCATGCCAGTTTTCTGTGAGCTTGTGGTACTTCTATGGATAAACCAGTCTATATGTGCAACAGCAGAGTCTGCTGTGTGGCTAACTAAATAACTACTTACCACATTATTGGTAAGTACTTATTTACTTTGTTTACAGGGGTAATAAAATTTATGACTCCAAAGTTTTCCTACTCAGGATTTTTCAATTAGTTGAAAAAGGTCAAAGCATTAATTGCTAACATACCTGCTATCAAGCAGGCATGTTAGCATCACCAGGAGGATAGATAGATAGGAGATAGTATTCTTCTGCACATACTCCAATAATCCAAAATTGGATTGTGTATAAACCTGTTCGAAAAGTTCCAGCCACAGAACAACGACTGCTTGTCATTACATATACATATTAATAATAATAAAAAGGTGTATAAAGAACATACTTGCAAACTTTCCAACTCCTTTTCAGCACTGACAGCTAGTGCAATCAGACGCTCTGTTTCCTTCTTCTCCAGATCCAAGAAATAATGTGCATCTTTAACAACTTCACCATTTACTTTATCAGCACCATTCACATTTGAACATCCGTTTATAGAGTCCTTAACCAAAACCTCTTTATCATCATCTAAACTTATCACAGATACACCATTTGTTACAGAGATTTCACTTGCTTTACCTTTGATTTCCTCATTTACTTCAGTCTTGTCAATGGGCTTTGGAATGTCTTCATCCTTTTGAGGGGACAAATCGTATTTTAAGCTCTTTTTAGGTGATGATATGGGCAGTTGTGCTCGGAACTCTGGTCTCAAATGTCTCATAACTGGTAGAACACTAGAGTCAGTGTCTTTAGGACTAGTATAAATATTTTCGCTCTCAAGATTACTGCAAGATTTTCTTGGAGAAAGAAACTTATCAGGACAATTTAAAGACTTCTCTGTTAACACTTTTGAGTTATCTTCATCACTTTGACTTTTGAATTTCAGCCGTTTCTGATTGAAAAATCCTTGCGCCAGCGCTCCTGGACCGTAGAGTCTCTCGACACGTTGTTGTATAAAACTCTTCATTGGACTTGTCAGTTTCTCGCCGTTCTCCTTAGTGATTTCAACTCTTTTCGACATACCATTGGATGAGATTGTGTAAGATTCAGAGCTGAATCGTGATTCTTTGCAATTTGAAGTGATTGTCTGTCTGATATTCGTTTCAGAATAGCTGGATTGGAAAGAAATTTCCTTGGAATTATCGACTTCGTCTTTGTGTAACATTGTTGCAGCAAAATTTTTACTTTCGGTGGATATGTAGGGTCTACTTGTAGTTGTCATGCTGGGGCCTAGGAAATCGTCTTTGAGTTGCTTGTTCTCTGCAGCCATACAGGCATGCGATGGTGATGATATATACGGATCTGTATGCGCCTTAGCAGGCGCGTTTGCTGTCAAATTTGTTCCCGTGTCATGGGGAATGAAGGTAGGTACAAGCAGTTTGTTTGCGCTGATAGGAACTGGGACAAGTAGAGAGTTATTTTCACTTTTATACTGGTATGTGTGTGTGATAGGCCGTATGGGTGACGCTTCACGACTTTTATTTATGTCTTGTCGCAATTTCGAGTCGTAGGTTGTTAAATTTGTATAGCCGTTGACAGAGCAGGCTAAGTTCAAATAACTGGGCTTCTTTTGTGGTGGGTCTTCTCGTTTCTTATGATATCCGCGCGATCTATGGCTGCCTGATTCCACATAAAGTTTGGGTGGAGGCTTAAGTAGGTTTTCCCTTCTGGGTGTTGGTGTGCTTTCCTCTGGAGTTCTTGTGGGTGTAAGAGTAGGGGTCTGCTGATAACTTGGTTGCAGGTTGGATCCAGCTCTCTCTTGTATGCGGGATGTGAAATCCCGAATACGGCTATTGGTTGATGATGGAGTGAGCAGATTCAAGCTTCCGGATGTAGTATCTGCAGAAGTAATAGAACAAATATTGTTTTATTTTTCTGAAGAGTTTGTAAAGTAATTTTATATAACTTTAAAGGAAATCACCATTACAAATGTATTTCACATGGATATAATTGGCAAGAGGTATTAACTAAAATATTAATATACATTGCTATGTAAGTATACAGTATTAATAATTTAAACTTTACATGAATCTACAGAGTTCTGCATAAAGCAAAATCACTGTGTTATAATTTATCTTGGTAATGAAGCAGATTTTAGAATAAATACTCACAAGAATTTTGAAACCATAAAAAATCACACATTTTTAGTTCTAAGCTACATATAGCAAGAAAAGGAACCTGAACACACAATCATTCTGCAAATACTGAAATTAAGCAAAAGACAAAATATATTGATTAACTATTATCTTATCAAATTTGGTAGTAATGATTATGTAGCAACAAAAATTTTACTAGCATTTCTAAATCCTACAAAGTTAAGTGTTGATTCAAAACCATTTTTAAATAAAGAAATTTAAGGTAATTATTTACAAATTATTTTAATTAATAGAGAAACAACCGAAGCATTAAATACTTCTTTTTTTTTTCAACATCTAAATGTTATAGCAAATTTTTTCTTGATAATCATATGTATCATTACACATATATGATATTTGTAAATGTTGTAGATTTCCTTTTGTATGACATACAAGTTTAAGAAACCTGTTCCAATTACTAGTTCAATTATTTTTGAACATCAGGTGATTGTCTAGTCTGTATATATAATAATGATGTAATGAATATAAAAAGAAAAATGTACTTATTACATAATGATAATGAATCGCAAACAAAATAAACTATTTAGATTGCTTTTTTATATGAAAAATTGGCACATGCAAGCAGCCCATTTGATATTAAATAGTTATATGTATATTTGGACCTTATTTTGAGTTATTAATGAACTCCTATCTGTATATAATTAGGCATAAAATTGATTAAATGAATAGTAAATGTTATTTATCAATAATATTGTAACCATAAGGGTAAAAATATGTATTATGTAATATGTAATTTTCTTAAAATAAAGAAATGTTTTTTTTCATTCAATGTAGCATTTTAGTCTTAGGTCTTTACAATGTGTTGAATGTCGCAAGCAAAATAATTTATTGCTTTCAGAGATACATAAACACAAAGATATTATTTTGAAAAGTATTTTTTTTAATTTTCATAAAGTAGATAACTATATACCATTTTTAACATTCATTCAATCAGATAATACACGATAATATTTTCACGGCCGTGTATAATGTCAGGGGCAAAATAAAGAACAGCATTTGATTGGGTACTTAGTAGACGATAGCAATGACAGGTATTACTCACGTTATCCATAAAAGATGAAAATAACATTCGCGCGATGATAGTCTATGAAGTATTAATTTATCGTAAATTAAATATTACTTTTTTAATATCATCCAGAATAACATGAAGGTAGCCTATAAGTATAGGAAATGTTTCGATACATAGGGAACTGATAACTCACTGATAATTTTATGTATGAACACAGTTTCGAACATAAAGGGATAAGGTACAAGAGTTTATAAATATTCCTTTTTTAACTTCAAATTCTTTTACAAAGAATTTATGATAGTTCCATGAATCACAAATGTCAAGTCAAACTTAAACTTTTTCTCGAGACGTCACTGCAGGCAGCGCCGCTCTGTTCGGTAGCCGGTCTCATAGTTTCGTTCCGTTTCACGGTCGACGAGTCGGAATCTTCTTTATTTTATTTATTCACAACACCGTTTACAATAACTTTTGTGTTCTTTTGATTACTGCGAATATATTTGAAAAGAGCCCCACAAATTAGCAGGTTTCACTATTAATTTTCAGAGGCTCTGGCGCAGAGACGGGAGCTAGTCTCTGACAATGACCGAGCTCGAACACGAATAAATTGCGTAGGCAGAATTGAGGTCGATTAATCGACTTAACCATATGCATGAATGAGTATTTCTTTTGTTTATTTCTACTTGTTTGATATTTGCATGTCATGCAAGAAATAAAAAAGGACTTGAGCCTGACCTACATAAACGTATAATATACGTATATACTTGATTGTACTTCATATACAAATCCAAGTTTGGAATAATTACTGGACTTCAAGCGGCGGATAAAATTACAAATTTTATGTTACTTTATTTAATTATATATAACTTTATTTATAAGTAAAATTATATCTAAGAACTACCTAGAACATGTCAGCATTCAAACAATAAAAACCACATCAAAAGCGGTCCACTTGTTTAGAAGCTATGATGCCACCGACAAACACACAGATACACAGTAGACAAACGTCAAACTTATAACACCCCTATTTTTACGACAGGCGTTAAAAATAAATCTGTACTTAATATGTAAATAGCTAAAATAATTAAGAATGCGTTTAATAAATAACTAGAAGTCGGACAGATGCAGGCGTGGGCATCGGGGCTTAATAAATTAACTTTTGATGTATACTTTTACTATTTTCCTTTCAATAGTAGTAATTAGGATAAGTATACTCATAAAACATTACCCTTAATGTCGGCTACTTAAAAATACTCCAAAAACATCTTACACTAACTTTTATTTTTTATAGATAAACTAAATCTGCAAAAATATTTTAGCAAGACATCCTAAAGCAAGCAAATCTAATAAAAATAGGAGATAAATAAGAAAGAAAACACACGCAATGTAACAATAAAACTTACTAATTTATTAATTATTAAAAAACGATTGCATACATATAAATTATTTATTCTTGTAATTAAAGCAAAAGAGAATGAAACAACAGAAAAAATATATAGATAGCGACAGGTTGAAAACAAGTGGCAGACAATGATGAACTATCACATACACATGCTGCACAGTCATACAAATACAGGTGACAATACGGAAGCGGCATATCTCGGTTTACCTGAAAAATCAGTACTAGCGTCGACATCGAGGGAACAGCTGCCAATAGAGTCCACAGATTTGTCCATTACTTTGACTGTTAGATTTTTCGATTTGTCCTTCAACAAATCTGCTTCCCTAACTTCTATTTCGTAAGCACCGATGCTGTCTAAATCATGTTCCAGGTTCCTGGCCTCATTAGATTTCGGAGACACCGTCGAGCTGGGAAGTTTAATGTCCGTCTCCTCTGTGTTGATAGTTAACGTTGAATCGGGCTTCAGCGTATAATCCCCGGGTAAGTTCTTATCAAGAATCAGTGTGCTTTGACTAGTAAAATTACTCCGAATAGGCTCAATGTATTCCACGTCGTCGTCGTACACGAACAAATGATTGGTATGTCCGCTTGGGCCTTGTACGTCGGTAGCGTCTTTCGGTACCGCGTCTATAACAGTTTGCGTTTTGCTCAGGCTTTTATAGAAATGACTTTCTAACTTCTCCAGTCGCCGTCGCGTTTCCGACTGCTTCTTCCGCACGGAATCTATAATGACCGGCAAATTCAACAGATCCGGCGTTCTTTCTCTTTGGTGCTGCGGGGAGATGTCGCGTCTAAATAACGGAGAATCATCGCTCTCCAATTCGAAGCGTTTGTATTTCGAAGAACAATAATCGTCTATGGAAGACGTGTCGGACTTCTTGGTATCGAAAAACGTGTCTAAGGAGAAGAATGATTTCCGTTTTTTCTTCGGTTGGCAGGTTTTATTGAAATTTGGTAATATTATAGGGTCGGCTTTGAGCTGTTGCACACAAATGTTGCTTGTATTTACGAGTGACTTTGGTCGCTCGTCCTTTGGCAGGCTTAACGGTACGCGATTAGTTTCAATTTTACGTGAATCCAGGCTCAGCGTTTTCCGAAATCTCTCATTCAAGTTTGATAGTAAAAAATGCCTACGTTCAGTCGACTTTGGTGTCACGTTATACGATGTTTGCTTGCTGCTGGATGGTTCGGAATCTGGAATGTATTCTGTATATTTGTATTCAATGTCGTTCTCTGAAAGGTCTTTCTTATCCTGTCGTTTTACATAGGGCTCTGAAGGGCACAGGGACGATTGACGGTTTTCGGGTCTGTGGAAGGAAAATGACCCTCTGTTGGAGGACTTTCTTCTATCACAATTACAATCACCCACGCAGTTCAAGTTCACGCAGGGTCTTTTGAATACAGGCTCTAATTGAACCTCATGGTTTGTATTTGGAATGTACTTATCGGGCTTATGTTTATGGACTAAGAGGTCCTGCCTGATTTTCTCCAATCTCTCGTCTCCATGGAGGCCTCTTGTGTACTTCGATTTAGGTGGACGGAAGAACCTAATTGAACCCGAAGAGTGGGGTTCTATTGATCTTCTGCGGACAAATGAAGGCGAGTCCGATATCTTGTTAACTCCTAGAAGGAGGACTGGTGTCTTCTTGTCCTCTTCATCAGGTAAATCACTGCAAAAATATAATATTGGTCAAATTACAAAACCTTGGGCAACTGTAAAGAAGGCAAAGATGTTTGTTTTAAAAAGAGTCTAATTAGCAATTTTTTTTGTCGGTGTAGGAACATCTGGCAAGTAGAATTATTTCCTGTTCTCAATTACTGGTGCAGGTGTAAACATGAGTGTTGTAAAAGTTTTGGATGGATAGCGCTCCTTAATTTATGTGGAGTTAAGTCTAAAATTAGACGTGTTCATGGAATTTAGACAATATAAAATTATCCTTATACCTTACCATCTTTGCTTTCTAAAATAATAAATATTTTTGTTATAACAATGAAAATAGACTAACGAAAATTCATTAAACATGAAAAAGGAAAAAAAATAAAAACGTACTCACGTAAAGGAGTTAGTAACACAGACGAACAAAAAGGCGTCATTACCTACACAACCATAACAAAAAAAAACAATTAAAATAATAAGTGGTGAACTATATTTAGACAAAAAATTTGCAAACTCGTGCAATTAGTAGATTTTTAAATTTCTATGAAGACCATGCGTGCGTATGATCAGAAAATCTAGGCGTAATTTTCGTCGCTTTGAAGTTCCTATATAAAGTCATCATATAGATACTTCCATATTATCTTATCCTCCAGCGATTTTCATGAAATTTAGTATGTGCCTATATTCTGGGTCGAAAAATCAATCTAGCTAGGTTTCATTTTTTAAAAGTGTCCTTTTATCCCTGTTTTCAGGGAATGAAAAATATCATTCGAATATGACAGTAAATTTCATTGAAGCCTTTTTGTTTTAAACGTCATAATAATTTAATGTTTTTTTCATTTCTATATTTAATCCAAAAATAATATTGGAAATCTTGTCTCTTTTGCTGATTCTTGGTTTTTCAACGAAATGGGGCCATTTAATGTCATAAATGTTTCTATGTATCTAACGAATGCTAACCAGACGGAATCGGGAGTGTCTTTTATCACAGCGATTTTCGTAACATGCGAAGACAGAAGATCCATTGCGAGCTTTCAACAAATAAATGAAGTTGACATGGCAAGCCATGTTTTTGTTGATATAGAATGTTATTGTATATTAAACATTGAGAATTACATTTAAACCTTCATACAACATAATATAAAGCATTATTATAGAAATTGATAAAAGCTTACGGGTAAAAATATATAATTATGTTGCAATATACCCAGTTTAAAATAAACATTTTAATATAACCCTCAGCAGTGGACTCAAACAGGCTGAAATGATGATGATGATGATGAATATAACCCTGGCAGGTTGTAATTGGATGACCTTAAAATAATAAAACGAAATCGCGTGCAGCGTTTTTTTTTGAGGAAGGGACGGATAGAATGAATTTCTCTGGGCGTTGTTGATTACCCGTCCTTAGTGTGTCATGTTGTGCCGGGAACGAAGCATAGTCTACTGTGCCGATGTTGTATTTGATGAGAAATAAAACATATATGCATACATGATGTTTTAATGATTTGAAGAAAAAATAATGATAAAAAAGATACCTACATAGTTTCTATTGCATGTTTCGTGGTAGATTTAAAAAAAGGACTATCCTTAGATGAATGTGTGTTTCTTAGTTCGATGAACAAATAATGATTTTGATTTGATTTTGAGTATGTACTTGTACACCTGAAAGTAAATCATCCCCCGGCGCGGACCTGCCCATTCTTGCAACAGCGATAACTGTTGCGTGAATGACCAATTCAATGACCTTTGATTCGAATGGCCACAATTCAACTAGTAACTGCACTTGTTAAGTGATTCCATAACGTTATTGCGTTAACGGTTTTTGACCCGTGAAAACTATTGAAAACTGGGTCACTAAAGTTATTTTTAAAGCGTTAGTACGCCCGAAGCGAGATTTATGCTTCTTTTTTATGTACAATATATACATATATATAAACTTTCCTCTTGTATCAATCTATCTAGTAAAAAAACCGCATCAAGATCCGTTGCGTAGTTTTAAAGATCTAAGCATACTTACATAGGGACAGACAGACAGCGGGACGACTTCGTTTTATACTAGTAGTGAAGTGTTTTTGTTTCGACTAAACATAAGCTCAGGCATAATAAAGCTTGAAACAGATCACGACAGATAGTGTAGATTTTTGCGTCGCGAGGTCATCGGACGCATTGTTTAGTTGTTAAAGCGTCTGGGCGCGAAAGCAGAAAATGCAGGTTCGAATCCCGCAGCACCGGAAGTTTTTATTCTTTTATCTACAAAAATTTACAATTTACAGATAGTGCATGAGAAATAAAGCTCGTGCTTTAAATTTGTGACAATACTATAAAGCCTTATCAGAGCCTCGTCAGATTTGTTAATCTCTCAAAACGTCTGACATTTGTGGACAGAGTGTATTATCCTATTTTAAGAGAATATACATTCGAACTCCCTGTATTAAATAAATTTTTGAATAGAATGATAATTTTATTGGACTTACAATATTAATTATATTGTTAGAAATGACGCGTCAAGTTTTACTACACACTATTGAGTCATCATAAGATCCCCTACTAAAAAGCAGTACCGTCGTCACCTATACGAATGTTGCTGACCAGACAACGGCTACTGTTAACTTCTCTCATTTCGTTACCGTATATGCAATTTGGTTTTTTTCCCGCCGTCTATGGGTAGCTGTATCAAGTACCGTTGTTCGGTGTCTGTAATCTTTTGCGTGCAATGGAGCAATTTGCTTTTTTAGACCAATCAACGGGCCATGACAGTGATAGAAGTATCGACAGTGCGAGGGTGATTTATACGGATTACAGGATGAATTTATAGTCTGTTTGAACGTAAGATAATTTTTTGAATTCTATTAATGTTTTTTATTTCTTATTTATTATTTAAATTTAGTATGTTACCATACAGCAGAGAAATACAGCTAGAATTACTAGCTGGCATAGCAAATATGCTTGATGGATAATTTGTTAGTATTTGAAAATATCTTAGATAATGATTGTTGCAAATAATGTATTCGGAATTTTACGATGGTTCATTTCAAAATTATGAACGCTAAGGTATAGTTCTTATGCACCAAATTTTCCACGCAGCAATGAATAACAGATACTTCATGAATCAGTGTACATAGGATTTGCTTGACTAGAAAATTGTTTTTCAGAAATTCGGTTAAATGTAATAATGTATAACACATATTTGAAAAGAAAACGTAACATTAATATTTACACGATATTTATAATATTTTTTTAATTGATATTATTACCAATTAATAAATTTGGTAATATATTCAACATTTCAAGTATGTAATAAATCCATATTTCATTTAGAATATTAATGAGCAATGACAAAAAATAATTTATAAAATTAAACAGAACTGTCGTAATTTAGTGATAAGTGTTACTAAGAATTAAGCACATCACTAGACCATATGTTTAAACTGGACGGACGGAGCAGTGTGCTTCATTGGTTCAGCTATTATTTCTGTCATCGTGTCGGCTCCGGCTGCGGGTTTCAGGCTAACGACTTATGCCAGTTACATCGCACGTTATCTTTAGTTCCAAATATCGATATAAATTTTCGATCATAAATTTTTTACGTAATATGCATAAGAATATGCAAAAGAAGCTACTCTGGCTATTTAAAGAAGTATAATATAATATGATTTCTTCATTAAAAAAATAGAGTTCGATCTTTACACAATAAACAGTCCTGTTCAACGTTTTGTAAACTGCGGGTGTTATAGGGTTTTCTAGATTCAAGTCTTTTGGACTAAAACGATGACGATGTTATAAGGTCTAAACATCCTTTTGTAGCGCGTGGTGCGTGTATAAAAATACGCGCAAATGATTGATATCCTCTGGATGATGTCAACGAAGAATGAGTTATTTCATGACAATATTAGGAGGTAACGGCATATATCTTGTCCAGCATTCCGTTGCCTAATTGTTACTCATTCTTGTCAGACGCGTTATTACTGTAATTAATTGAAGTATTTAATTAATAGTAAGCAGATTATGTAAACAGTGCATTCTCAACCTAGCCCCTATAATTTTTAGTGTTTTACTACAGTTGATACCTGATAACTCAGATAGTTTGAATTTGATAAAGTATAATAAAGTAACAGCCTATAAAAACAGTATATACATGCCCCGCTGCTAGGCATAGGCCTCGTCTGTACAGAGGATATTAGGGCATTGTCCACCACGCGGCCCCACTGTGGATTGGTCTACTTTATACATATCTTCTAAACATTATTTTTTGTTATTATTTCGAAAATATGCAGGTTTCCTCGTGATGTTTCCTTCACCGCTGAGCACCGTGATGCCAGCACCGGGGATCGCTCTAGTACATTGAGTTAAAATCGAGCGCCCGGATAATGAGCCGCTCTTGCATTTGATAATAAATAGGTCACCGTTCGTCTTTCCGTTCGATTTCAATGTGAATATCGTCCGGAAAGTGCGAGAAAACTCTACTGAGCTAATGCGTTTACATCTAATGAATCTATTAACACTTGCCATGAGAAAAAAGTCTAAGCCAATAATTCGGAACATTATTTTTACATTTTGATTATGAAGTTCTTAATGCACACAATTCGTGAGCTAAGGAAATTAGAAAAAGCAGCAATGTATATTTCGATCGACCGATGTTCGAGCGCAACGAGTTTTTCTAACGAAATACGATAATTTCATTGCTCCCTTTACATTGCATAAAAAGCGGGAAGCTATTTACATAAGCTCACGTAAGCAAGTGGTAAAATAACGATTCCACATCGATTCCGATCCAAATTGTAGTCAAAAATAGCGTTCCAATGATCGGTCGTTTAATCGCGTCAATAGAAACGCATCACGCAACATTTAAATTGAATTTTCTAGAATTTTCAAATCTGCGATATCAACATTTTCTAGCTCCTTTAATAAAAACTTTTTCTTTTAGAAAAATAAGAACAAGGAAAGCCGTATACGCAAGATAAACTACTAAAATAAAAGTGTATATTGTAGATTATGTAGATGATTGTTCCAAAGAAAAGCGTCATGAAACCATGACTGACAAATCTGCGAGAGTGACATCAGGTAAAACTACTCCACAGCTCGTCCATCTCCTAAAAAAGTCGCATACAATTAAAATTAATTCAATATACCTATGTAGTAACTATCATATCATTATATTTCAGAATAAAGCTTTTTTTTCTTCTGATGACTATAGAAAAAGCAATGGCAAGGATACAGGTAATTTGATTTCATATTCAACGAAATTATCGTCGAATGTTTTCGTCTGGGTCGAATCGGAAATCGATTTGGAGC